TGTTGTTTTGATTGATGGGTGGTCGTGATATTAACCTAAGCGGTGCTATTCTTTCCTTTGTTTTTTTTTTTTTTTTTGAAAAATGGATTGGCATTTATGGTATGAAGAAAAAATATTTTCTATGGTGGGAGATAGGGTGGGCGTGGGCATAAAAATGACTTTTTTAAAAAGAAAAATTGAAATATGCTTTCAAAAACAATTTTAAAAAAATAAAATTGAGGGGGGTGTTTGGAGTGGGGTAAAAATGAAAATTTTTAAATATTTTCCAAAAATAATTTGTTATTATTATTTTTTTTACAGAAACGGCCTGGGTGTGGCATGTGGGGGGGGGGGATAGGGTTAGGTAGGGGGTTGGTGTGGAGTAAAGAAGGAAATCTTTTACAATTTTATATATTTCCCAAAAATATTTTTTTTGATGGGAATGGCCTGGGTGGGGTGTGCCCTGGGAGGGGGGTAGGGTTAAGGAAATATTTTCAAACACATTTTTGAAAAAAGTGACGGGGTTGGCCTGGCTGGGATGGGCGACTATGGGTAAGGGTGGGGCCGTGATGAGGTGGTATACAAAATGAATTTTTTTTAAAAAAATATTGAAATATTTTTCAAAAATAATTTTTTTGAGGGTGGCAGCCGAAGAGGGGGGGGGGGCATAAAAAACAAAATTTTAAAATTTGAAATACTTCCCAAAACTACATTTTAAAAAATAAATAAAAGGGGTTATCCTTGTTTGGGTTGGGGGGGGGGGGGGGGGGAGGAGAGGTAGGTAAAAAGAAGTCTTTAAATTTGGAACAATTTTCGAAAATAATTTTGAATTTTTTATTTTTTTTATTTTTTTGTTTGATGGAGGGAATGGTGGTTTGGGGTAGGAATAAAAATATGTTTGAAATTTAAAATAAGAAAATTTTAAAAAAAAATTAGTGAGGAGGTTGGGTACATTGTATGAATAGGGTGAGGAAAAAAAATCAAAGAATGAAGTAGAGTTTTGAAAAATATTTTTCTTAATATTGAAAGGGAAGTTATTCTACTTAAATTTGAGGAAAATGAATTGATTCAAAAAATATTTTATGAAAATATTTTAAGGCAACCAAATATGAAAAAATTGAAAAACATGTTAGTCATCTTTTTGTATTTTAAGTTTATATTTTCCATATTCTATGTAGTTGTTCTTTCCTTTGATGAGATTCATCAAATAGTGTGTGGATTAATCCAAGCTATGTTAAATTGCATTATGATAAATTACATATGAATATATCTTTAGGTTATTTCATCAAATTTTAGAAAAAGGGTCAATTTCATATTTGATGTCCGCATGGCGATAAACTTAATTTCTATAAATATCTTTTGGGGTTGAAAATTGTAGAAAGTGCTTCTAGATCTTAAAAGTTGTGTAATATCTCAATTTTTATGTATGTTTGATGATAGTTTTTTATTTTTTATTTGGTCACATACAAGTTTTCTTCTTTTTGTGGTCCTTTAAAAAATTTAGCACTTTTAATTTCATAAAAGTTTAAATAAACTTATTATTTTTTATGGAATTTTATGAGTGACATCCTTGTGATTAACCTTCTTTAATGAGGATTTGTAAAAAATTAAATTGTAAAATATGGGGTTCACAATATTTTAAGAGTTTAAACTGAAAATCAAGAGGGGGGGGGGGGGGTCCTACTTTGGTCATTCGATTCACCTGCACGTTAGTAAAACAGACAAACAGTAATAATAACTTGCAGTAAATAAATAACACAGGGTGTTTTTTTACTTGTTCAGATCACTGATATGGTGCCTAGTCCAGACCCCTTGGGTTACAAGGGTTTCCTTAATAGCTTGTTGAGAACTTGGGTGTTACCGAATGTTACGATTAAGAGCCCATCTGATGTGCAAATCAGACCTTCTTTTTTGACACAACCTCTACCTGTATAACCTACACTTAGATCTTTCTTTCTCTTTTCTTTACAATTGTTCACTCAAAGGTGTACAGAGTTTAATGAAAGATAAAAGAAGATTACATAGGTTCAAGTGAAGTGTGTACTTCACATCTAAGTCTGAGGGGTATATATATATATATGAACAAAATTGTGCTCTTGTACAGAAACCTAAAGGGAGTATACTTCAATCAAGGATCTACAATTCCCAACGGGATCCACACATGACTTCCCCTTTGGCATAATAAAAAACATACAAGATAATGATAAAACAGGAAATAATGCGCAGTGCAACAGACAGAGACGGAACTGGAGTAGGACTCTACTCTTGAGTGAATCAAAATCAACTTGTTAACGGTAGAGATTCCTTCCTTTTAAACATCATGAAGAATCTCCAAACCCCGTTCATTATTGTCCTGCACACTAGGATAGCTAACCCTGCACATACTCCATAGCGAGATGGGCAGCCCATATGACAAGCTTGTAGTGGGATTTGTGTCTTCAACACTTTTCAACATGTATTCGTCGTTGAACCATAATGTGGTACTTCTTAAGTAGGCGATATAGAACAAGCACATTCTGAGTAGAATTACTACTAAGAGATTCTTTTCCTGGGAATAAAAATGGTAGCAACAATAAACCGCAATTAAGGGTGTATAAAGTCAAATCGAAAATTGAATCAAACCATAAATCAAGTCAAATTGAAAAAAAACTCGACTAGTGGTTTGGTTTGACTTAGTTTGCTGTTGGATTAAAAAATCGGACTATATTTGGGTTGGTTTGGTTTCAACTAAAAAAAAACCCGAGACCAAACCAACCCGACAATATATATATATAATTTTAAAATTTTATTTTATAGGTAAAACTACTTACTTTGATATAATTGTTAAATATTTCTTATACTTTTCATAGTTTTTATCTTTTTTATATTTATTTCATGTTTGGAAGTTAGAATTTTTAATGATCTAAAGATTATAGTCCATACATGTTGATAATTATAATAAAGTTTAAATAAATCAAATTAATACTAATGCAAAAAGTAAATCAATTCAACACTAAGAATGACAATAATATTGAATATTTATTTTTACGTTTTACATGGATTTAAATAATTAAAATACATGATCTAATTTTACTTTTTTTAAATATTTAGTCATGTAATTAATACTTACTAAACTTATTTTAGCATGATTTAGTACTTTAAATTGTGATCGATTTCATTATGACTTATTAAGTTGCAATATTTGTTTTAAGCAATTTTATTATTATTTTTTTGTTGGATATTTTATTGTCATGAATCATATCATATTTTTTATTATTTTATTGAGAAATAACTTAGATAGTTACACTTTGGTAGGACTAAAGAAATATTTGAAATACAAGTAAATTATATGTTTGTTTGAATACTTTATCGAAAAACCCGAAAACCCCCAAAGAAACCCGAAAAACCCAAAGTCGAAAACCCGAATTTTATTGGTTTGGTTTGGTTTACAAGTTCAAAAATTCGAGACAAATGATTTGGTTTGATATTTGAAAAACCCGAACCAACTCGGTCATGTACACCCCTAACCGCAATATTTGTTTTTTTTTTATAAAACTCTGGTTTGAAGTGAATCCGTTGGTTACCCCATAATGACATTGTTTGAAAAGCAAACATTATGTCTCCATTCTCTAGGCATACCAGTTCTTCTAGTTGGGCAATCAACTCTAGTTCTGGAGTAGTTACTGCTCTATATAATATGATCAGAAGTATTTGAGAGATTCTCAGAGTTCACTGTAAGCGTAGTTTCATCATATATATATACTCTACTTCCTGCATCCTTGGGTTAGTATATAAAAAAAAGAACAAAATCTTCAACATAAAAAGATTTTATATTAAAAGCTCGAAATATACGACTGGCGGGTGCATAATAATATTTCTTCATCCCTTTTTGGATCAAACTCACCATATTTGTCTTACAATTTGTGAATGAGACATTTGCATTCGAAAGGGTAAAAATAGTTTATATGGTTCTAGTAGATAATTTTTTCATTCTACCACCTGTTATGTTGAGGTGATCTAGGAGATGAAAATTTTTGGGTGAATCTATTTTTATCACAAAACTCCTCAAATACTTTATTCTCAAATTCTCTTCCATGATCAACTACGAACTGTGAAAATAAATTATTTTGCTTCTCTTTGTACTCTTCACCAATGCTAGAGAGAACCGTATGTAGAAGTTGTAAATGTTAAGTGGTACTTACAATATCCTTGACCTTTGAATGAAGAACGAGTTTGCTTACCATGCTGAAACGTCACATATATGGTCCTTTTCAAATTTTAACTTTCGGAAGCCTAATGACTAGTTCAAATCTGGACAATTTTTTTAAGACATGCAAGCTGACATGACCATGTTTTCTGCGCCATAGCCAAGATTCATTTGATAGACTGATAATGCAGATTGTAACATTGAATGAAACTTTGAATTCAACTTCGCATAGTTGACTGATGTTAATCAGGTTGTGTTTAAATCCCTTCACCAGGTATACTTTTGATTATAAGCTATGAGTAATTAATCCAACTCCTACTACTTCTCATTTTGCATTTTCTCTTAACCGTAAACTTGCAATATTTTTGTTATGAGATTTGAAATTTTCTTTCTTTCTGCACATATGTCTTGAGCATCCACCCACATGCCCTTTTTGTAGGTTCTTTTGGTCTACTCCTGCAAAACAATTAGATCAATTTCTTTTTGGTACCCAAGTAGTTTTGGGTCCTTGAGAGTAGGATTAACAACTTTTGATCTCCAAATCCATTTTCCAGAAGAAAACTGCTGCATTTAAAAGATTTGTGACCAAAGTCACCACAAATATAACAAGAGAAACTAACAAAGGTTTAAACAGAAAGATAAGGAGAATTAGTTATAGATATGTTGGAACTATGATTGTGAGATCTTCTCCTGTAATTGAAAGTAGATCTTTTGAATCTGTCAGAGCTATGACTAGAAGATTTTCTAATATTGTTCAACTGTATTTTTATGTCCTCCATGTTTTCTTCTAGTTAGTCAATTTCAATCTGCCTTGCTTCAAGAAGAATTTTCCAACCTTTCTTTTCTTGAGCAATCTTGTTGTATTCATTAATGACTTTCTGCAGTTCGTCAGTAACCATATACAAAGATTCTTGTAAGTCATTACAATATGAACAATTAAAAAATCTTACCTCACTTGCTTCACCCAGTCCAGTGAAACATATGTTGGCGGTTTCATCATGATCATCTTCAGATGTTTCTAACTTGTAGTGCATTCAAATACACCATTCCAAGTGATTTGAGTTCGCAGACAATTTTACTGAATCTCGAGAACATGGATTCAACATTTTAATCTTCCGCCATCTTGAACAACTCATATTCATTTAAAAGTGAAAGCTTCCTTTACTTTAGTAGTTCCTTCATAAGTCACTTCTAGTTTGTTCCACATTTCTTTCGCAGTTTCATATGTTGATATTTTATCATATTCTGCTCCACTCACCGCACAATATAACAAACTTATAGCTCTAGCATTAGTTTGAATTACCTCTTGTTGTTCCTTAGTGATATCAAATGATTCGGAATCAAATGGCTTTTCAGTGTCATCTTTTTCAGTCAATCCTGGAATACGCTTCGGACCCGTCTTGATTACTATCCATGCTTGATGATCATTTGAAGAGACATATATTCTAACTCTATCTTTCCAATGAGAGTCCTGTTATCCATTTAAGTATGTTGATCGGTGTGAGAAATGTCCGTCTTGAAGTAACGCGCAAGGAACTTAATAGTGTGCCATTGGATCTTTGCTCACGTGGTTAATACTGAAGTAGTGACACCTGCTCTGATACCAATTGAAAGTCAAGAAGGGGTTGAATTAAAATTCCCTTCATTCGACTTCCTACTCTGGTTGTCAGTAAAACAGACAAATAGTAATGATAACTTGCAGTAAGTAAATAACACAGTGTTTTTATACTGATTTGGATCAACGATGTGGTGCCTAGTCCAGTCTCATTGGATTACAAGAGTTTCCTTAAGAGCTTGTTGAGAATTTAGGTGTTACAGAATGTTACAATCAAGAGTCAGTCTGATGTGCAAATTAGACCTTCTTCTTTGACACAACCTCTACATGTATAACCTACACTCAAATCTTTATTTCTCTTTTCTTTACAATTGTTCACTCAAAGGTGTACAGAGTTTTATGAAAGATAAGAAGATTACAATATAAGTTCAGCGAAGTGTGTACTTCACATCTAAGTCTGAGGGGTATATATATATATATATATATATATATATATATATATATATGAATAGGCTTGTGCTCTTATACAGAAAACCCAAGGGAGTATACTTTAATCAAGGATTTGAGGAATCCCTTGATTGAGGTGATTTGATGATCCACGTCCATATTAGATATGTGCATGATAAGTCGCATTCCTTCCTTCTTGACAGATATGATTCGATTTTGTGCTTTGGCTAAAGGATTTATCTTGACTTTTTGGCTTGATCTTTTTTCTTTCTTCTTTTGATGGCTTGGCTCTATTCTTGGTTTGATTGATGATTCCTTGATCAGAAACTGACGTACTTGATTGATTTGCTGCCAGTATATTTGCTTGATAAATCTACTACTAATTTTATGTCATCTGTCAATGATTTGTTGGTTCCTTTGATTATACCTTTCCTTTATGTACTAATTGCAAAGATTAGAATATATTATTTTCTATGTGGGTATTTGCTTGGACCATTTTCTTATTGGATCTTCACGCCTTTATGTAGTAACTTTAGGCATCAGAATATATTGCTTTTCATGTGGGTGTTTACTTGGATCCTTTCCTTTTGAATTGCTTTACTTGACTTCATCATATCAATCAAGATATGTTTGATTAATTTTGGAAGCTCTTTTTCTTTCCTTTCTTTGGTTATTTTGGGGATCAAGATATATCTCTTTTTGATGTCTTTGCTGCGAAAAGTATGAATAACTGTTTTAAGTGTCATTTATCAAAATCAACTGCATCTATAGAATTAACATAAAATCATTAATATAATTATGCATGTTATCTAATGAAATAATATATCACATTGACAAATAGAAGAATATGAATCAACAGAGAAGAAAGTTTTTTGAAGAAATGGAGGAAGAAGTCGGGGCTTTAAGGGTGGGTGGTTTGTCCATATGTAGGTGCTTAGGTGGATAACCTTGTCACATTTTTTTACATGTAGGACGCCACATAGATGAGTGGTGACATTCTATTAGAACGGAGGGTATATGTGATTCAAATTAGACAAGAGGGATAGTTTTGAAAAAAAAAATCGAAGGATATATGTGATTTATTTCAAATAGTTTATGAATAGTTTTGATTTTTTTCGTATATTTTTTATTAATTAACTAATGGTGAAAACGATGATTTTACCCTTGAAATATCAAAATGATATATGAATATCCTTCGTCACACTTTTTGATACTTATCTCTGAATTAGAAGAATCATCATTAACTCAAATATGCTTTAAGACTTGACTATTTCACTTTATTATTAACTCTTCTAAGTTTGACTTATCTTTAACAATTATTCTTAATACTAAACAATTAGTAAAGTAATGTGAATAATTAACTTTAATAATCCATTTTTTCTTTTTCTTTTTCTTTTTCCTAATGTGAGAATTAATTTACTAATCACTGTCACTGTCCATTTTTTCTTAATTTTTTTCTATGTGAGTACTAACTAAATAACCTCATGCTTTAAGGCTTAACTATTTCACTCAGCTTATCTAATGTAATATGACTTGTTAACTCTTCCTAGACTGCTGACTTATATGTAATAGACTGACCTTGTCCATTTTTTTCATCTTATTTCCTAATGTGACAAATAACTAACTTATCTTATACTTTAAGAGTTAACTATGTCACTTAGCTTATCTAGTCATATGACTTATTAACTTTTTCTAGACTGCTGATTTATTCACTTAGCTTATCTAATGTAATATGACTTGTTAACTATGTCTAGACTGCTTACTTATATGTAATAGATTGTCATTGTCTATTTTTTCTTTTTTTTTCCCTAATGTTACTACTAACTATCTAACTAACCTTGTGTTTTAAGACTTTAACTTAGCCATTAAGTTGGTCATTAGCTCAAATACACTTAATCCTAATGCTTGATAGTTAGTAAGTGATTTTTAATACTTAATTATGTGTAATATGACTTGTTAACTCTTCCTAGACTGCAGACTTATCTTAATATGCTGCCACTGTCCATTTTTTTCCTAATGGTAGTACTAACTAACTAATTTTGTACTTTTTTTTTTGGCTTCCCATCCGGTGTTCGGAGCCCACATTGGAGCTTCAACTAAATTTGAATCGCACACTGCATGATCTATTCGGGTTTAGCGCTCCCAACAGGATTTTATCTATACCCAGGGCTCAAACCCAAGATCTCTAGTTAAGGGTGAAACACTCCTAACAGTGCACTACAAACCACGATGGTGCTAACCTTGTACTTTAAGACTAGACTATTTCACTTGCCTTATTTGTTAATTAGTAGTGAATAATTACCATAAATACTCAACTCTTCCTAGACTATTGACTTAACTCCAACGATATGTAGTTGTAATAGGATATGTCAACTCTTCATAGTTTGACTTATCTTTAACATTTAACAATTTTTAATACAAAACAGTTTATTTAGAAGTAATAATGAATTTGTTTAAATCTTTGTAGGCTATTAAAATGGTTAATATTACCATATACTTTTATTATGGTGGTGAGTGACTTGACAATCTAGAGTCACATTATGATAAGAATTGGATCAATTATTGGAGAGCATATGATCCTGATCTTATATATTTTATTGATTTAATCAATAAGTTTATAGATAAATTAGATTTTGCAAGTGTGCAACAACTTATTGTACTTGGTCTTTTTGTAAAATATTTTGAAATAGTAGGAGATGAAAGAGTTAATACATTATCATCTTTTATCTCTGAGGATTATAAAACCATTTGTTTGTTTGCTACCGATGACTGTGAATTTGTTGTTGATATACCTGATATTGTTATACATGATGGATCATTTTTACTAGTATTAATAGTTAATCAAGGCACAAAATGTAGTGAAAGTGAAAGTAATTATAACAATAAAATGATGTTTAGTTGTATAGATTATGATTATGATACTGATAAATTGAAATATAACTGATAGTTTGCAACATTATAAGAGAATTGTTAAAGTATGACCTTAAAGGACATAACTAAGAAGGTAGAACTAGTTAAGATGAAGAATAGCAAAATAGGATTGAAATATAAATGTGGTAATGAAGTTGTCCATTTGTATGACTGATTTTTAGGAATCTGATCACACTTGGGGTTGGTGTCAATAGAGTGTGGACATCATATGACAACTATTAAATTTATTATACAACATCTCAATGTTTTAATGAGTAATTTGATCCTAAGTAGAAGGTCAAAGAAATGGAGGTTGGCTTACATAAAGTGTTTGAGTTAAATATAAGTGAAGTCAAGTGCAAGAGAGCTAAAAAGGAGATAGTAAAGACTCTAAGGATTCGTTTGGTAGCCGATATTAGGTAAAATAATTTATGGATTAAAATTTAATTTATCTAATATATTGTTTAATTACTTCATTTAATTTAATATATGGATTGTTTATCCATCATATGTGGTATTATTTTATCCTTAGAAAATGGAGGAATAACCAATTCAAGGTTTGTTAAACCTTGGATAAGACCCCAAAGGGGCTTTTGATAGGCTGCATTAAAAGAAATAATACATGTATTATATATGGTATAATTTAATACTATGTTTGGTAGGGATGTGAGTCTATGTATAACTAATCCATGAATTAGTTTATACATCTAACATGGTATTATAGGATACATTACTAATACCTTCCATTTGGAGATATTAGTAATACATAAGATATAATAACATGAGATAAGCACATAAAGACAAAAATATTCCTCAAATCTTTTTAGCTTTTATTTTAATTTCTTGATTTTATATTTTATATTTGTACTAGTAGAATTATTTAAATAAATTAGTTTACAAATTATTTAGAGAGACTTATTTGTAACTAAATATGTTTAATTCAAATCAATACAAATTTGAAATGTGAGTTATTTAACATTTACTAATTAAAAGACAAATAAATCACTAATTGTTCGTATTATGAATAATTTTAAAAAATTACATACATATTAAAATTATAACTTGTAATTTTTATGATTTATTCAATTTTACAATTGTTTACCGTCTTTATAATTTTAAAAGTAGTTGGTTTATCTTTTTTAAATTTAAAATTTATATTTTATTAGTGATCAATTTATGAAGATGAAAATTATTTATCCTCAAATAATTCAAGTAGAAAATTGAAAACATGACAACAGAATTATTCTTCTCATAGCTAGTTAGAATGTCATAAAAAATATTTTGCCGATAATTATCTACTTTGACCCAAATTACATAATAATTTATGGGTATAATTGGAAAGGAGATTTTTAAAGAATTTGATTTCAAACACAAGTTGGAATTGGAAACAATGAACCAAATACTTGATAAAAATAAACATTGCATTATTAATACTGATCACTGCATTACTAATTCATGCTTTATTCATTTTTGTACCACACGACCCCTAAATGCCTAAACTAACCCCTTATTCTTTATTCTAAATTTCTTTTGTAATTTAATTTCCTTTTTATTTATATTGGAATGGTCATAAATGTTATTTTTTAATTCTCCAAATCCGTTTAGTGTTATTTAATGGATTCACTAATATTTTTTTCTCCATTTTTTCTTGATTTTTTTATTCAAGATAATTTGTCAATTACCCACTTGAACAATTTATTTTAAAAATAAAAATAAAAATAAGTTTTAGGCATGAACAATTTATGTAGTGTTAAATCTATGTGAAGTTTAAGATATATACTTGACCAACAAAAAATTAGAAATACATTGTGTCATCAATGATCTTCTTAGTGGTACATTATACTTTAAAATTAATAACAATTTTATGTATATATGTATTTTATTAACTAATTAAATAAATTAAATAATTCTTTAAAAAATATTATCTGGACATTTTACATTTTTTTTCCGTGGTTATCTACCTTGAGACCCAATTACATGAAATACACACTCATAATAATATAAGGTTATAATAGGAAAGACCTTTTTTGTAGAATTATAAATTAAATACAAAATTAAGTGGAAAGTAGTGAACCAAACACTTGACAAAAAACAATTCCTGCACTATCAATTACTAATTTATGAGTTACTAATACTTACATTACTAATCCCCGCATTATCAATGTTTGTCCAAAGGACCCCTAAATGACAGATTTGTAGACTCTTATAATAAATTGGACGGTTATGCTACTGAATTGAGGAGTTACAATTCAGGATTTGACATTATCATTAATTTTTCCAAGGGGAAATAATAAGAGAAAATTTTTTAGAATGTATATATGTCTCAAGGCAATGAATACTTATTTTAAGGTTGAGTTAAGACCATTTATTGAGTTAGATAATACATTTATTAAAGAAAAAAACTAAGAGATATATATTAGTTGTTCTTAGCCAAGACAGTGTGAATTGGTTCTACCCTCTGGTAGATAAATAGAATAAAAGGTGTTGGATTTGGATCATGCAAAAGTTGCATCATACACTTAATCTTCAGAATTAGGGGTTCTACCCTCTAGCTTGGGTTGTAAATGATAAATAGAATAAAAGGTGTTGGATTTATGCTCATGCAAAAGTTGCATCATACACTTAATCTTCAGAATTAGGGGTGGGGATAAAAATAGAAAAATTAAAACATCGAACTGAATCAAAAAGTTTCGATTCTTTGATATTTCGATTCGATGTCATTTTTTTAAACTTTGATTTTTTGGTTCAGAGTTCGATGTAAGGGTCCCAAAATTATAGTGCATCGCAGAATTGATGTTTTATTAAATAAATTAAAAATATTTATTATAATACTTAATTTTCAACTTTACTTGTCCCATTTTAATTTTCATATTTAAAGTCTAAACTTAAATAGAAAAAAATCTAAATAACAAAGAAGTAAACCCTAAAGATCTAAAGTCTAAATTAAACAAAACTCAATTTAATTCAAATTTGAGCAGCAACTTGGTGTTTGTACTTTCTATTTTATGATTTTATCATTTTATGTTGTTACTTTGAAGTGTGAACAAAAAATTGATGTCTTACATTTTATTGTTAGATGGTTAGTTGTTATTTTGAAGATTGAAGTGTGAAGGGAATAACAATAGTTACTTTATTAAATTCTCCCTTTATTTTTATTCACACCTAAAAACCAATTTAAAAACACTAAACTAAATTGAATCGAAGTAGAAAAAATCAAACCAAACCAATCTAGTTTGGTTTGAATATGATGTACACTTTTTTTAAAATCGAATACCGAAGAACCAAATCAAAATTTGATTAAATCGAACCGAAGAAGCGTACGCCCACCCCTATTCAGAATGTGTGAAGAAATAACATTCACAAAAGATATGCATAAGGTAATAATATATTACTAAGTTGTAATTCATTTAAGCCTCTTTGTTTAATATTGTTTCTTAAATTTGTTGTTTTTATATGATACTCAGAGACTACTTGAGAAAAGTAAGAATAGTTTTACCTTAAGCAAATCAAAGATATTGCACAATATATATTGAGCCCAATTGATGAAAAAGATCAGATAGAAGTGAGCTAAAGAAGTTGTTGTGTGGTGACCTTCATGATCCTCATTTTTAGAGAAGATTTGAAGAGGTTGAAAAGGATTTATTGAACAAATATTCTCCCAAAACATGATGCAAAGC